ACGGCATTAGCCGTTTGCTACCCTTCTTTTTCCCATGCTCTCTATTCCCGGTCGCTGGTGAACGGTGGGACGCTGGTATACGTTGGCAGGAGCTACAGAACGCGGAAAAAAAAAACTTGGAACAAGCCCAAGTCGCGCGCTTTTTAATACTTACATGCAATTTTTGAATTGCACATGAAAACTTTGTTTGCTCAAATCAAGTACGCCTTAGAATGCTATCCTACTATATATAAATCCGCTATGTATGTCTGTGTGTGTCACGAAATTCATAGCGCCGTCCCAATAGCAGTGAGACATTGATTTCAAGAAGTGATGTAGGGAGTGTGACGGGAACACTATTGGTGGGTGACAGGAAGTGATATCAGTTGATAAGATCCGATAAGAGGCGTTAGAAGGGGGAGGTCACCATATTCATAACGCGGGTGACAGCATCAGCTAGCTCTTGATTCTAAGATATGATATAGGGTATGGGCCAAGAACATCATTAGTGGGTCACAAAAACTGTAAGCTGCTGATAAGATTCGATAAGGGGCATTAGAAAGGTGAAGGTCAAGTGCCGCTTATGACTCTGCAGCTTATGCTTCTTCCGGCTGTTAAGGACTCATCCGGACTAATTCAACTTTACCCATTCTGATGTCGCAACTGCGGTCCTTAATGATATGGTGCAGCCTTCTCACGGTTGAAAGTCTGTAGTAAGCAAGAGGGACCAGATGTTGGTAGATAATGACTGATGTTGAGCTATTTTCAACTCATTTTCCTACATTTTAAATAAAAAAAATAACTGCCACCGTTTGGCACATTTAGCGCATTCTACCTCGCCCAAGGGAGAGTGCCTGGCGAAGCCAGGTCGGCCCGGCGAAGCCGGGCCGTGAAACAGAAGGAGGAGCACCCGGCGGCAGCCGGGTGATCCGACTGCCGCCGGCTGCTCCTCCTTCTGTTCCGAAATCTGTTACCGGGACAGAATTTTGAAGATTATTGCGATGCGGCATGCCGCTGCCACTCTGATATTGGACCGGTTTTCAAAGTTTCTAATGCTTTGCGATCCATCGGAAGAAGATCACACCTGTCTGAGTGTTCGCTCCCTTCTTCCATTTTTTTTACAACTCTCGAGAAACCAGTTGTTCCCAGAAGCACTTTGAAACAAGAAACTTTGGAAATCGGTCCAATATCAGAGTGGCAGCGGCATGCCGCATCGCAATAATCTTCAAAATTCTGTCCCGGTAACGAATTAATCAACCAACTTTATTTTTAGAATAGCATTTCAAGGCGTACTTGATTTGAGCAAACAAAGTTTTCATGTGCAATTTAAAAGTGTGTGTAAAACTATAAAAAACGCGCAACTTAGGGCTTGTTCCAAGTTTTTTTTCGCTACTGTAGCTCGATAACTATACTTCCCTAGGGCGCAGTGCTTCGCGAACCAGAAAAGCGCCCGAAAGTTAGGGGGAGGGAAGTGAATCAGATAAATTGCGAAGGGAAGATAAGGCAGCCATCGGTAGGGAATTACGTAAAGAAAAGCAAAACATCCTAGCAAATAACGTGATATTCAGTGTTTTACGAGTTTACCAGGCTATACGCTGAAGTTGTACTCGAAGTGCTGTTTTAGAGATCCATTTTCAGCTTGCTGCACGCTGGCAGACCGGACTGCCACTAATCTACTCCGATTTACGTTTCCTTTGATACATATGATTTCCGTACAAGTTTCATTTGTAAGAAGCTCATCTTTCTCAGCTCGGTTCAACAACGGGTTTTCATTTTTTGAGCTGTTTTTCTTTTGTCCATTGCTTACGAACACATTAATATACATGTACTCCTCATTCCCGTCTTATTGCCTAGTAAATTTACGACTCGATCTCAACATACCTGATTTTCAGCTCTCGGACTGTCTTATTTTACCTGAATTGTATACTGCATTACTTGGTGTCGTTCTGCTCTTACCTTGTTGCCTTCCCTTGACTTTTTTCTCCGAGGAAATGTTCATAGTTTTTTTCATATTCTAGTTTGCTTCAACTCTTTGCACTTGTATAATAAATTGTTGTTTTTCGTCTATTTCAATGTTTACGCCGCGAAGGAAATGACAGTGTAAACTAGGCAGTGTCAAGAAAATTCAATAAGCGAACTGAGAGCGGCGTCCATCTCGATCGAAATGAGATTGTTTTTAGTTTTTGTAAGTGCCACTGTCGGTAAGATTTCATCATTCACTGTGTGTAATGTTTAGCCTATTGATGTTATTTGCAGCAGTTGAGAGTAGAAGTCTATCTGAAATTGTATGTGATTTGAATCCTCGAAATTGCAAGCCACATAAATCAAGTTCAAGGTCAGCGACCACTGTCAGGTGATTGTAGTCTTTCGAATTTACGCAGATTTACTGGATATATATAGTCGGTGTGGTCGCATGATAGTGTATTCTGAATCGTATCTTTGAGGAGATACCTACCGATAGGCAGGCAGCTCGCAGCGCCAAGTGCAAGCGAGTTTGCCAGATGGCAGAACTATGAAAGAGGAGAAGCAGGCACAGGACTTGTCCCTGATATGGGACCTGGTTGGGGACCAGGTAAAAAAAATCTCGCCAGTTGTTTTCAGAACTTAAGAAGCATGTCACTTAGGTCTCGGGGACGTGAACATTGCGACAGGTGTGGGTGTCGAAACACCTGTAGGTGGCCTTGGTATCCGTCGTGATTTCGATCTCGCTTTTGGAGGATCTGGACGAAGCGGTGGACGAAGTTTCGGCTTTGGTAATGGTTACCAGAGGCAAATTGGAGCAGCTCCATGGGCATGGCCGTAATGGCAGTACACATTAGTGGCCAATAAAAAAAACAGCTTGTTCATCGAATTAATGGAGGAAATAGCGCACATCGAAGCAAGCCAATGAAAGTCCTATTGTGTCATGTCCCCAGGATATTTCTCTGCAAGCACACCCTCATGGCTAAGATAAGGGAAAGGCACCCGTTAGCCGTCGAGCTCAAGACTGTACAACAATCGCGTGAGCCCGTGGCACACGTGCATGTTCCTTAGTTGATGAGTGGCATTCATGCTCCAGGAGGGGCCGCTATACAGTAGCGGGGTCTAACGATCCAGCCTTTAGAGCAAGGCTGTTATGGTCCATGATTTATTTTTCATGACTCAACTCCGACAGTCACCTTCATCACCAAGCCTCATAAAATCCTAGGCACGCCAATTTTACGGTATCGAGGGTACAGAGACCGAAAGTAAGCGTTGCAATTGTCCTCACTACTTATTTAACTCCTCGTAAGCCTAGGGTATCCTAAATGAACAGTGTCTTTTTTGTTGGCCACCCCTATAAGTGGAATGACTTGTGTGAATTCTTTACAATAAGGTGATAAAGATTGCAGTTCTGTGTCGTAAAGCTCCACACTATCAGAGCGAAATGAAATATTCCCAGTTATAGACGAGACACACACTGACAGCGCCTGAAAGTAAACGAGGTCCCTACCAATGGAAAGAGATCGCCTCTGTCACATAAGATTGCCATCTAGTCTTCAAGTCATACGAGTCCGGAACTATACAATCCGATGAGCTTTAAGAGAATGTTGTGGCATCTCTTACGGTTATCATGTGCCCGCTCATTGGATCAAGTCTCGGATCGAGCTCTCGACCAAACCATCGCTGAGAGATGGACATGAGTTGTCGCTGTCGTCGTGCGCGGATATCGTGTGGCAGTGCGCGGCCGCTTCTATGTCCGCCAGTTTGTCGATTGGAGCAGCGAAATTCATAGAATTCGAGCAGAAACAGGACTCAATGGCAAGCCATGTTAAAATTCCCCATCCCTCTGACACTGATATTCCACCGGTCAGCAACACAGGTCGTCCGTAGTGTGGCATATTCCAACTGGGAGCAGCATGCCGACGGGCTGGGGGGGGGGGGGGCATTTTGCACTTTTGCTACTTCCCATCGACGTGTCGACCTATCTAGACAGCCTCTTCTCGAGTTGACAGGTTTTAACATGATGGCTTGACGACCTTGTTCCAGCTTCACAAGAGTTCACAGGTTTCGCCAGAGTGAGACATGTAAACCGGAAGTGGTAAAGCGAATGATTCTATAATTTAATTCCAGCGTTGCAGTTCTACCCCCCCCCCCTTTCCCGCTCCACCCTTACTCATAGTCTGAAACGACATGCTCCTTAACTACAGCCTTCTGCTGAATTCATGCAAGACAAATGGTCAAGTGAGTTTAGCTGTATAACAGCTAGTTGAAAACGTGCATTGATTCCTCTTTATTACAGTTTATTTGGCCTTGTCTTCATGATGGTGCATTATCTTTTTTGAATTCTTGAACTATTTACCATGTTGTATATCTGAAAGACTGTTGCCCATTTTGATTGCACTAATTAATTTGTGATAATGTATCACCTTTTCTAGTGAAATGTCTAATTCTTCTATAATTTTCTTCTTCTCTGTGATCAATGGTGGTTGTAGTGAAAATAAAAGCGGTGTATGTATCCTCAAGTGAAAACCCTTTAGTTTCCGGAAAAATGCTATAATTTCGTTGGCGACTCTGGTGACATATTGCCGGTAACGTAGGGGATGGCAGATATGTGATGACAGGACAAGTGTAAGGCGCAGTATGTCGACGGCGGGGGGGGGGGGGGGG